ACCCCCTGCAGCCCTGTGAGCGGGCAGGGCCACGGTCTCCTCCTGAGCTGCCGAGTCAGAGGGGGCAGGAGGCTGTGCCCCCAACAAGCCATGTGACCCCTCTTTCACATGGGGTCAGCTTTCACTGCTGCCTCCCACGTGTGTGTGAGGCTAGCACTTTGATGAGAGCTGTTGCTGCTGTGTTGAGGCAGGTGGGCCTGGGGAAGGAAAGGCATTTTCTTTCAGCCCTCGGGAAAGAGCTCCTGAGGAGCTGCCTGGAGTGGGGGTGCTGATGAAGACCCTCCCCATTCTACCCTGTGGGGCACTTCCTCACCCCCAAGGGCCAGGCTCGGTCAGTCTTGTCCACTTCATTTCCCTGTTTGTCCTCAGTGTATCGGCCGCCAGGGGGCGCCAGACCTGGAGATGTGGACTCAGATCCTCACTAGCTGTGTGACTGAGCAAGTCACTTCACTAACTTTCATTTGCCTCAGTTTCCTCAGTTGTAAAAGGGGGTGATAATAGCACTTGCCTCCCAGGGTTGTGAGGGCCAGGTGAGATCATTGTACATCCCTTAGCGCGGGGCCTGGCACATAGTAAACCCTACGTTAATGTTAGCTGTTACTCACGATGGAAAATGCTGTCCACATCCAGAGAGAAAACCGTGGAGGCTGAAGGCATGTTGAAGCATGCTGTTTTCTCTTTTTTTTCTTTCTTGTGGTTTTTCCCTTTTGTTCTGATTCTTCTTTCACAACATGACTAATGTGGAAATATGTTTAATGTGATTGTACATATTTAGCCTACATCAGATAGCTTGCCTGACTTGGGGAGGGGGAGGGAAGGGAGAGAGGGGAAAAAAATTTTGGAACTCAAAATCTTATATAAGTAAATGTTCAAACTTTCTTTACTTGTAATTGGAAAAAATAAAATACTCTTAAAAAAATAAATGTTAGCTGTTACTATGATGAATATCTAGATCTGCTTATTTCATTCTGAATTAGTTTAAGCAGGTCTTTCTGTTTCTTAGTCTTCCTCACATGTATTGTCACAATGATAACTCTGTTTTATCTCCAGATTACATTTGACAACAAAGCCCACAGTGGGCGAGTCCCTATCAGCTTAGAGACCAGTGCCCACATTCAAGAATGTAAACACCCCAGTGTCTTTGGGCACGGTAAGATCTGATACCCTGGCTCCTCTCCCTTCACTTCTGTATGTCAAGCTTCCTCCATGATTTGGACCCCCCTGCTCTCTGCCTTTCTCCCTCCCCTCTGTTCTGTTCCTTGGTTTCCCTAAGTCACCACTTTCTTGCCTCCCACAATCCACCATCTTTTCTCCAGGAGACAACCGGTTTCGCCTCTTCTTCGATGTGGTCGTGATTCTGACTTGCGCCCTGTCCTTCCTGCTCTGTGCCCGTTCCCTGCTTCGTGGTTTCCTGCTGCAAACTGTGAGATTTAGGATTACACACCCTTTCTTCCTTCTCCCTAACTGCTGCTGCCTTCTGTTGCTCAAGGCCTTGGGACCACCCTCCCATCATTCAAGTTCCCACCACTCATAGTCTTGGGAGTGCCCCCAAAGCAAGTTTAACTGGGGAGAGGGAAGGGAATCCAGGTGTCTTGGGTGGCATTTTGAAGGGTTTCTCCCATTTCCCAGGAGTTTGCCCGTTTCCTTCGTCGACGCCAGGGGCATGCCTTGAGCCTGTGGGAGCGGCTGGAGTTTGTAAATGGCTGGTACATCCTTCTTGTGGCCAGTGACATACTCACCATATCTGGCACTATCATGAAGATTGGCATTGAGGCCAAGGTGGGCTGGGGGATACAGCCTCCCAGTCCCAAGAAGTCAGGCAGGTCCCCTTGCTGGGGGGAGGGGAGAGAAGAGGGGGAGGGAGTGAGTGTCCTCAGGGTATAGGAGAAAGTCATGTGGGGAGGAGGGGAGACTTTGGTCTGGAAGGGAACTGAAGGCTGGATAGGGGAGTGGGGGAGAGTAAACACTGGGCTCCACCACTGTTCCTGGGGGTCCCTGCTCCACACTGACCTCAGAGTAGGGCCTTGCAAGCAGGCCATGGTCTGGGGTGAAAGGCCCCTCTTTTCCTTTTGTGGGGGCCCGGGTTCTCTCTGGAGCCATCTCGAGGTGGGACTGCTACATCCCCAAGGTCTGTCTCCTTTTCCTGGCCCAGGCTTGTGTCTCCCAAGAAATCTTTGTTGCTCCTGTTCTGTGAAAACCCTGTCTTTCTCATATCTCTTTCCCTTCAGTTTCCATGCTTGTGAGTCTGTCCCCTCTGGTGTCTGCCGTGTGGGCCATCCCCCTCCCTGCCCCACTTCCCTGTCCCTGCATCTTCTCTCCACTGTGTCTCCATGCATGTCCTCTGGGGCCTGAGGTAGCAACTCTCTTGGAAGTCTTGACCTATCCTGTTTATTCTCCTGCTCCTCCCACCCCTGGGCACTGCCCTCTTTCCCATCTGACTCTGCTCTTTTGTCTTCAAGTCCACAAGTAAGTGCGCGCACGCCGCACACACACACACACACACACACACACACACACATGCACATGCGTGCGCACACAAGCACCCATTCATACAGCACAGGATGGATGGGGGCCAGTGCACAAGGGAACAGCTGAGGAGACACCTGCATCAGGTAGAGGCTGTGTCCCCCTAGAGCTGATGGAGTACCCTGTGCCCCCAGAACTTGGCCAGCTATGACGTCTGCAGCATCCTGCTAGGCACCTCCACTCTGCTTGTCTGGGTTGGCGTAATCCGGTATCTTACCTTCTTTCAGAAATACAATGTGAGCCCAGACCCTGCAGCCCTCTCCTTCCCTCCATAGTAGCCTTGGCTCCTGCCCAGCCCCTCTCCCCTCACACCCCTTGGGAAGGCTGTATGACCATGAGCCAGGCTTGTACTGGGCCTCTTCTCTATCTTGAACATAGAGGTGCTGAGGCCAGAAATACAGCGTGAGCCCAGACCCTGCTACCCTCCCCTGCTCTCCACATTAGAAGGCTGGCTCCTGCCCAGGCCCTCCTGTCTGCCCCAGCCAGTGGAAGGGCTGTGACCATAGGCCAGGCTTGTAGCAGGCCTCCTCCCTATCTTGAACAGAGAGTGGCTGGCAGACCTGCATCCTTGGTGAACCCTGACCTCTCCCAGTACTTGGCCTCCCAATCTCAGAGGGGCTAGGGCCGGCCAGTCCTTGGGGTAGCGTTGATGTCCACGTTTTGTCCCCTCCAGATCCTCATTGCCACCCTCCGAGTGGCCTTGCCCAGTGTCATGCGTTTCTGCTGCTGCGTGGCTGTCATCTACCTAGGCTACTGTTTCTGTGGCTGGATAGTATTGGGGCCATACCATATGAAGGTGCTTGGGACATCTGGTGTGGTTCTCAGCAAGGGAATGAGGACTGGGCCCTGTCCTGGTGGGAGGGTTTTTTGGGTGGCAGTTCTGTGCCTCTGAGCCTGGCTTAGGGTCTGGGACTTTTGCAGAAGATAAAAGGGAGAAATAGAACAGTTGGAAGAAGAGAGGGCCCTTTAGACTTGTCTACTTTGGAACTGCCCCCCCCCTTCTTCCGCCCTGACTCTGGTCTTTGGTCTCTTCCAGTTCCGTTCCCTCTCTATGGTGTCCGAGTGCCTGTTCTCACTCATCAATGGGGATGACATGTTTGTGACTTTTGCGGCCATGCAAGCACACAGTGGCCTGGTCTGGCTTTTCTCCCAGCTCTATCTCTACTCCTTCATCAGCCTCTTCATATACATGGTTCTCAGTCTCTTCATTGCTCTCATCACTGGCTCCTATGAGACTATCAAGGTAGGGCCCTTCTGCACTTGGAGTTCTGCCTCAGTCCTCGGCCCCTCCCTCCGTCCTGGTCCCTTCGGCCTCTGGGATGGGGAGGGCCCTGCCCTAGTAGGGGCATCTCATCTCACGTCCGTGTATTTACATATATGCTTATGGGGCACCTACCAGTGACCTGTTCTTGGTCCCGTTCCAAGTTCTGCGCACACCTGCGCGTGCACACAGGCACATACAAACTACGTGCAGTCGAGTGTGAGCCGCCCTACCCTGTGCACACGCGTGTTGGCACCCCCCCACACACACCCTCACGGAGGCCCTTCCTGCGTGTTACAGCAGCACCAGTCGGAGGGTGAGGCCCAGGGCAGCCAGCTGCAGGCCTACATCGCTAAGTGTCAGGACAGCCCCGCTTCCGGCAAATTCCGGCGCGGCAGCGGCACCGCCTGCAGCCTCCTGTGTTGCTGCTGCTCCAGGTACCCCGATCCTGGAGGGGGGTTTGGGGGGGGCGCTCCCCGGGGACCTTTCCTTTCCCTCTTCCCACCCTTGCTTTTCTGCTTCTTTCCAGGGAACCCTTGCAGGAAAACTCCCTGCTCGTGAACTGACCCGCGGAAAAGGCACGCGAGGTTTTTAGCCCCTCGTGGGATTGGACTGGATGCTTCCAGCGGTGTATTTATGGTTTTAGGGTTTGCTTTTAGGAAGTGACTCCTGGGACCGCGGGAACCCCTCCCCCGCAGCGGGACTTCGGTCTCCGAGGCTCGGCCCCTCCCGCCTGGGAGTCCCTCCGCGGGGCGGGGGGCGGGGCCGGGTCGGGGCCGGGCCCTTTTTGTAGCAGGACTGGGCGGCGGGGGGGGGGGGAACAATAAAGGATGAACACGGGACGCCCGCCATGTCTGGTTTTTGAGTCTGCGTCACGGCAGGGGCAGAGATGAGCCTCAGGCGCCCTCTCCGCTAAGGGTGGGGGGCGGGGAGCAGCGGCCTCAGGCTTGGAGGGGTGGGCAGGGGCCCATCTCTCGGCGCTTGAAACGGCCTAGTCTTTGAGGCCATTTTTAACAGGGCCGTGCCCCTCCGAGCAAGCTACGGAGTACGGTGGCCGAGAAGGGGCGGGGCGGAAGCGTAGGTCATCGCAGCGCGCCGGGAGCCGTAATTTAAAGGGGCCGCGCCTTCGCTGCAGCTGCGGTGGTGGAGGGACGGGCGGCGGCGACGCCGCGGAGTTGAGCCGGCTGCGGGCCCTGGTGAGTCCGGGCCCCCGGCGCGAGATCCCGGGGCGGTGTCCCTGGCAGCGGGAGGACTGGGATGATCCCCAGAGTTCATCCCCCACGTCCCTGTCTTGTCCCTTCAGATTCCCTCATTTCCCGCCCTCCCCCAAGTTCCTCATTTTTCCCGGTTCCCTGAGACAGTTTAATTCAACCGAAGCCTTTATGGGGCGCTTGCTATATGCCGACGCTGGGGATGCAAAGACCAGCAAACAGAAGCCGGGAGTCCCCTCTCTCCAGGCAGGAGCCCCCTGTCCTGGGGGGGCACAGAACCTGGCACCACCAAGTACCGGGGGAAGGAGCGGCCGTCAGCGGCTGGCGGAGACCCGGCTCTGGGGAGGCCGGGAGGGGCCTCCCCGGGGAAGGGGGCGGGGGTGAATCCCAGGCCTGGGCGCGGCAGTGGATCTGGATGCCCGTTCAGACCCGCCTGTCCCGGCACCGTCCGGGGCAGGAAGCCCCCCCGGCCCCCGAGGTAGCCGGCGCTGCTCGAACCGTCCCCTGTCTGGTTTAACCGGAGCCTTTGCCACTTCCCGGGGGCCAGGCCGTTCTCCCCGCCCGTGCTTGGAGGTCCTCTCCAGGCCAAGCATCAGCGCTTCAGCCAGTAATGTCCTGTTAGGGCCCCGCGGTGAGCCTGCAAAGACCACGTTAAGAACTCACCGCTTGGGACTTGTGCATGTGGAAGCATAGGCAGAATCAATGCAAGGTAGGGAAGAGGGCTGGGCGCCAGAGGTGCTGCAGAATCTGTGAAAAGGAGGTGATGGAGAGAGGGCATCCCAGGCATGAGGAACGGCCAGTGCAAAGGCGTGGAGACGGGAAGACAAGAGCCTCTTGTGAGGAACAGAGAGAAGACCAGTTGGACTGGTCCGAGGATCTCCTGGGAAGAGGGGCAGGGGCCCAGGTTGTGAGGGGCTGTCAAAGCCAGACAGAGGCGTTGATGCTGTGCCCTTGGGAGGTCCTGGAGTTTGAGCTGGGGAGTGCCACGGTCAGATGTCTGCTTAAGGAGGACGACTTTGGCAGCCGTGTGGCATCCGGGATGGATGAGAATGAACCTTATGCCCTGGTTCCCCTCCTCCAGGTGCTCCTTGCCTTATCAGTGTCCTCAGAATTGTCCTTAGAACTTCACGGAATACTTGATTTGATAACACTTCCCTTGTCTGATGGGCAGAGTGTAGAAGAGCTGTGATTCTTTAGTCCAGGATACCTCTCAGTCCAGCCAGAGATCACATCCGTTTTCACCTGGCGCTCACTGGCCACCAAAGCACCCGTATCTTTTCTCCACAGACCGCTGTGGGGCGGTGCTTCTGTCACTTTGTGTTTGCAAAGTTCAGTTTTTTGAGCTTAAGTATAAGACTTCACATTTGTTCCTGTTAAGTTTCTTATCATGTTTGACTCTGTTCTAGCTCAGCAAGATTTTTTTAAAAATACTGATTTTTTTCACAAAGAAAAAAGTATATTTAATTATGAGTTTACTGAATCGCAGAGTAAAGGTATTTCAGAGTAGGAACAGACTAAGCGTCTTTCTAATCTGATAGCTGAAAAAGAGTCATCTCCTCTTTACAGTCACAAGTCGTGAAACCTTTGCTCGAAGACTTCCCAAGTGAGAGAGCCTGCTGCTTTCCCAGGCGGCTCGTTGAATCCTGATTGTTATCTGTTGTATCAGCGCTCCCTCGATCACCCCTTCCAGCTTGGGGTTATTGTCAAACTTTGTAGGCGTGCCGATGATGTTTTCACACAAGTCATTGATGATTGCCAGAAGCAGAATCATTGATCCACTCTGCTTGGAGCCCTTCTGCCAAGAGGACATTGAACCATTAATGACTGCTCTTCAGTTTAGGCCTTTCAGCCGGTTCCAGATCTGCTTCCTTGTGCTGTCATTTAGCCCATACCTCTCTCTTTTTTCCCACCAGAACAGTATGAGAGTCTTTATGAAATGCTCTGCAAACATTTAGGTCAACTCTATCTGTATCATTCCACTGACCTACCAGGCTAGTAACGCTGTCAAAAATGGAAATAAGGTTTGCCTGACTTGAACTCTTCTTGATCAAAGCCATGTTGGCTCTTTGTGATCACCACTTTATTTTCTAGATGTTCACCTTTTAGTAATATATTCTAGAATTTTCCCAAGCCATAGGTTTATGTTTAGGAAACCCTACTCATTCTCTCTCTCTCTCTCTCTTTTTTACATTCACCCTTTGCTAGGTCTGTGACATGTCATCTTCCATATCATTTTTTCCTCCAAGTTGGGCCTGTGATTTAATTGACCTAGGGAACTTCTGGTGAGGACCTTCTACCAGTATGAGTTGGCCTGCTTTGCAGTTTATGACCTTAGAGAATTTCATGGGACACAGGGGGTTAAGTGACAGCCAATTTGTGTCAGAGGAAGTCTTTGAACCCACGTCTTCTTGATGCCTGCTCATTAACCTGCCCCTCTGGTGTCCTTTGAAGGCCCTGACAATGGGTCTGAAAGTACACATGCCTATTCGTTCATTACCCAAGGAGACAGAGTTCACCTGGGGTGGGTTCCTTGAGGTCCTCAAGGACAGCTGGTGTGCTTTTGCTTTTTCATAGTTATCTAGGGATGTCAGCTCTCTAATAGCCATTTTTGGTCTCGCCCTCCCTCCTACATACTTACCCCCCAAAAAAAATCCACAAAAGAGAGGATAAGGGGTTTGGTGGCTGTGTGAGCAGAGAAGAAGGTATGAATTTGAGAAAGGATGTGGAAATAGAATCAACAAAAACACAACAACTGGTAAGAGACTAAGATGATTCCGCTTGTGAACCTGAGCGACGTGAGAGATGGTGGTAAATTAGGGGAATTTGGAGGGTGGGGCCGATGGAGATAACAAGTTCTGTTTTGAACTGGTGAGTTTGAGATTTCTACAGAAGATCCTGGTGGGAATGTCCCGTAGGTAATGAATGGATCGAGTAGGACTGGAGCTCAGACAAGCGATCAGGACAAGATGCGTAGATCTGGGATTTGTCTGGTTAGAGGTGGTCAAATTGAATCTGTGGAAGTGAATGAGATCACTAACAAATTACATATAAAGTATGAAGAAAAACTAGGGCTAGTGCTTTGTGAGGTAACTAACTACATTTAGGAGGTTTGGAACAGGGATTGATGATCCAGAGAAGGGATGGTCAGACAGGCAGGAGGATGTTGTAGAAGAGATTTCTGTCTGGGTACAGGTTGGGTTACATGACCTCTAGTCTGACCTCTAGTTGCAGGTTGCTTCCAACTCTAAGATGCTGTGATTCTATGAGGAGAACCAGGAGAGGAGGGTCATGGAAAAAAAAAAAGGAGGAAGAAAGGGACCAGGAACAGTGCCCCTGGTCCTCTCAACTTCCCTCATCTCATGGTCCCATCTGTCTCTCCAGCCCTCTCAGTCTGCTGAATTCTGCTTCTCAGTTCCTCAGATCCTCAGTCTTCCAGCTCCCCAGGCCTCGTAACACCTAGTTTCTCTGCCTTGTATCCTTCCCTCTAGCTCCCCATTCTGTCCATCTCCTTGGCCCAACCGCCTGACTACCCTTGGTGTCTTAAGCACCTTCAGTCCCTCCTAGCCATCGTTAAGTCCTGGAGCTTTCCTAGCCCCTTTCTGAGAATCCTAGAATATCAAAATTGTATGTTGACCTCCCAAAGCCCTGTAGTCCAACTGGTATTCAAACGAGAATTCCCTCTATGAAACCGTTGACAAGTGGTCCCCAAATCTCTATTTGGCACGACCTCAAGGGAGGGGGAATCTACCATTTCCAAAAGCAGACTCTTTTTAAAAGCAGACTCTCTTTTGTGACCGCTCTGCTGGTTGAACGTCTCCATGTGCCAGGCACAGGGCACTGTGCTAAGCACTGTAGATACAAAGAAAAGCAGCAGCAGCTCCTAGTCTAATGGTGGAGACAATAGGTAAACAGCTATGTACAAATAAGACCTCTACAGATACACCGGACGTAATCAGTGCAGTGAAGGCACCAGCGTTGAGGGCAGTCCAGAAAGTCTTCTTGTAAAGTGGCACCTGAAGGAAGCCAGAAGGCTGAGATGAGGAGGGAGGCTTTGTTTATTTTATTCATTCATTTGTTCTAGGCTTTATTTGAAGCCCCAAACCTGCCTCTTGTCCACTTCTTCCCGTTCCCACCCTCCTTCTACAACAGCCCTTTAAATAGTGTCCCCCAAGATTTCCCTTTCTGGACTGAACATCCATTGTTACTTTAGCCAGTCCTCATGTGGCGTGCCCTCTGGTCTTGTCACCGTCCTGGTCATCCTCCTCTTAACCCAGCCTAGCTTATCGATGATCCGTCCTAAAGTGTGGGCCTCCCACCTTAGGACCATGCACAGTACAACAGGATCATCATTTTGCTCCTGAGAGCCACCATCTCCCTCCCTGCTGCCTAAGATTCATTAGCTTTTTGCTGTCAGGTCTCTGTTGAAGCATTTGGGTTGATGAGTTAGTGCCATGTCCATTTGCTTCTGTCCTTTAGACAGGAATCATTTGTGTTTGCATCCTGTCAATGTTATTCCTAGTCACTTCCCATTGCTTTCAGGCCGATTTCCCTCATAGCATTTGTATTCTGGAGGAACCTGCTTGTCCTTCTCTGACCTCTTGGAAAGCCGCTGTCTCCAAGTCTAGGCTGCCTGTTCTGCTTTACCCTCCTTTTCCTCCTCAGACATAAACTGCAAGCTGGAACAGGTCTGGTGCTTCTTTAGCAACTGGTTCATCTTGTTAGGTCGGTCAGGGCCATTATAGTAATTCCTCCTTTTGATTCCTTTACTTTTTGAAGAATGAAATTATCATTAGGACAAGTGAAGAATTTGTCAGCTGCCCGGCTTTTGGCAAAGAGGGCAAATGTGTGGATGGTTGCAATCCAACCCCTCGCCATCATGACGCCATTTCTGGGGCCCATCTGTGATGGGTTTCCTGAGTTCCTGGGCAGCGGGACCCAGTGACAATATTGCTTTCTTGTCTCTCCTTTGATCTTCACCCATCTGTTCTCCACCATGTTTCTCCATTCTGTCTCCTGAATTTCCTCACACTGAGCTCATCTTCTTAATATAGATTGCTATTTCCACACCCCTTTTCATCTGTTTTTTAATTGTTCTTTTGAATAAGTGATCAACCAGGTAACCCAGTGGAGAGAAAGTGGACTTGAATTCAGGAAGACCCAAATAGGAGGCCTGCCTCAGACACTGCCTAGTTGTGTGACCCTGGATGAGTCACTTGCTACCTTTCACCTCATTTTCCTCATCTGTAAAATGGAAATACTAATAACACCTTCTTCACAGAGTTGTGAAGATCAGTCAAATAAGTTAACACATGTAAAGTCATTTGCAAACCTTAAAGGGCCGTAGAAATGCTAGCTATGATGACTGTTGGATTATGCCCTTCAAGAAGCATGTTCTGTTGTTCTTCAGAAACATCCCAGTGGTCCTCAGTGACCCCAGTATTGCCCCAGTGCTTCCCTGTAATGGTCTAATGTCTCCCAGGATCCACCAGTGACCCCTGTTTACATCCTAGTGTCTGTCAGTGATATTCCAGTGTCCCCCAGTAATTTGCTTGGGTTGTCTTCCTGACAAGGGGAAGGGGAAAGGGGCGGAGCCCTACAAAGGGTGGGGGTTGGGTACAAGCTAGGGCGGAGGCCAGATTGTTCTTCACCTGAGGCCGCCTCTTCGCTGGGGAAGGAGGGGTGTGTGTGTGTTGTGCTGGTTTTTCTTGTGACGGGTCAGGATTGGGGTAAAATATAAACTATATAAAATGTAGAAAGAGTCTCCTATGGCCTCTCTCCTGGAGGGCTAGCCTGCTTGTTGGGGAGAGCAGGAGAGGCTAGTTGGGGTTCTGGCCCCGGTGGAATTTTCCCCCATGTTTCTGTGAAGCTCTGGGCTCTGGGAATTTTCCACAGCCGTCCTGGGGCTGTCCTGGGGTGGATCAGAAGAAGTGTGGGGCTGGGAGGAAGTGACTTCTTACCTCAGCCCTGTAGCAGTGTCATCCTGTGCCCCTTTGTTCCTCGTGGGCCTCGAGAGCTGGGGATGTCTGGAAGGAGCAGTGTTGGGAGGTTGAGTGCCAGGGTTCCTTTTCCTTCCTCCAATTTCCTTGCCTCCATTGTCCTGTGTTCTAGGAGAGGGAAATGTCTTAGGGTGATTAGAGATCTTAGAGCAGGCCCCTAGCTGCTAGGACTAGTGGAGGGGTGGGAGGAGTGTAGGGTAACTTGAATTGCAGCTGAGACAGATTCACGCATGTGCTGGCGTGTTGCCTCTGGTTTCTAGGACTCGTATTGGGCAGCCCCACCCTCCGTTTAACTTGCTTGGCCTTTGTCCTCACCCTCCCCATCCACACATCCTGGGGCTGCTCCTCTAGCTATGTGTCAGGGCTTAGGGCAGCCATGGGGGGCCAGCCCCAGCTTCCCCGTCTCACCTGTCCTGTCCCCTGGACTCCCAGGGCCCCACAGGGCCACAGCCGGGCCTCAGAGGCAGCCCCAGAGCCAGCTGCAGACATGGGCCAGAATGAATCTGAGCTGCCCCAGCCCCCGCCCCAGGTAGGTGGTTTGGTGGACTTGGAGGATTTGGGGGGACGAGGGCAGGTGTTTATCATTGCCCTCCTGGCTGTGGGGTGGCTCCTGGGCACGGGAAGAGGCTCAGGCTGTCTTCCCCCAGGATCTGTCCCTGCTCTGCCCTCCAGGATGCGGCGCTGACAGACATGCTACCCAATATCAAGCTGCTGGTGGAGGACCCACTGCAGACCAGCCTGGTGAGTCTGACAGCTCCAAGGCGTCAGTGGCCCTGACTCCCAAGTACACTGCTCCTAGCCGGCCTCAGTAGGAACTACAGCTTCCAGCATGCCTGGCTCCCTTCAGTCTGGCTCTGCTGGGGATTCGAAGTCTTGGCTGCTTGAACTCTGGTGCAGGGGCCTGGAAGCAAATGAACAGAAGTACAGAGCTGGCAAGGTCCTCAAAGACCATCTTCTCTCAGAGGGAAGTGGGATCGTCAGTGTTATTGATCAGCCAGCCAGGTTTCACAGAGCCTCCTTTGGGGTGACTGTTAGCCAGCTGTGCCATAGGAGTGATGGAGTCCTCTGGGTTAGCATGTGTCCAGAGAGAGTCAGGGTGGCCCCAGCCCTCAGTGAACTCAATCTGGTGGGAGAGTGAGCCTCGTGAGAATGAGGGGAACCCCACTAATGCCACGTGGGGGTGGTAGGTGCTGAATTGGTCCATGTTGAAGATCCTTGTGGGCTGGGTTGGTGATGGAAGGCTCTGAGAGGGAGGTGAGGCTAGCTGAGCCTTGAAGCCCAGAAGAGATTTGGATAGCTACAGAAGAGAGAGTTTGCAAGGTGAAGGGTGTTATGGAGATGGAGTGAGTAGGGGAGGGTTCTTGTTGGCAAAGGTCTCTGAGGGTGAACTGTTTCGTTCCTCTCCTGCTCCCCTTCCCTGGAATCTTGTGGTGTGACTGGACAGCTGGTGTTTCTCTTTGCAGGTGATGGGAATGATGATTGGTATAGGGGCCGCCGTGCTACTCATGGCCACCCTCATCCTCGTACTGGTCCGGAGACTGCGTGCAAAGAGTGAGGCTACCTCCCAGGGTTCTCTCGGGGCAGCAGGAGTTGGGGCCCTCTGTTGGCATCTCCGGGGGCAGAAGGAGCGGAGGGGCTGGGCACGTGTGGGATGTGGGCTGGAGTTCTGAGAGACCCTGGGCTGAGCCCTTTGGATGGGCTATGGACCTCATGGAGAGAGTGTGGGGTCACTGTGGGTCTGTGCTTGTACTTCCCAGAGGTTCAGGCCCAGGAGACTCCCAAGTATCGATTCCGCAAGAGGGACAAGGTCCTTTTCTATGGACGCAAGATCATGCGCAAGGTTTGAGCCTTCCCTGTGCGTTCTGCCCTTCCTGAAGTCCACTCACTGCCCTCTTGTCTCTTCTCCTCCCTCCTTCCTTGCTTTCTCTCCCTTCCTGCTGGTCTGGCCTGGTGGGAGGGCGTATGGATACTTAGGGCCTACTGACAGACCCCTTCCCTGCTTCAGGTCTCTCAGTCCACCTCCTCCCTGGTGGACACCACGATCTCCACAGCCTCTCGGCCCCGAATGAAGAAGAAACTCAAGATGCTGAACATTGCCAAGAAGTAAGGATTCCCTCTCTCCCCACGAGCCCAGGCCTCCTGGGGCAGGGTGGGGAGTGGAGGGTGGGGGGGCTGTTCTGGTCTGTCATCCCTCAACACGTGATGCCTGCACCCCCAGGATCCTTCGGATCCAGAAAGAGACGCCGACCCTGCAGCGAAAAGAGCCTCCTCCCTCTGTGTTGGAGGCCGACCTCACTGAGTTTGATGTGGCCAATTCGCACCTACCCTCCGAGGTGCTCTACATGCTGAAGAATGTGCGGTGAGTGGGGTTGGGGAGGCGGGTCGGGGCTCAGAGCTGGGGGCTGCTCTGACACCCCCCCCTCCACAGGGTGCTTGGCCACTTTGAGAAGCCGCTGTTCCTGGAGCTCTGTCGCCACATGGTGTTCCAGCGGCTGAGCCAGGGTGACTATGTGTTCCGCCCAGGCCAACCAGACGCCAGCATCTACGTGGTCCAGGATGGGCAGCTGGAGCTCTGTCTCCCAGGCCCCGTGAGCAGGGCTGGTCAGAGTGGGGGAGGTGACCGGGAGACAAGGGCAGTGGTTGTGGGATGGTGGGTATCGGTGTTAGAGGGTCAGGGAAGAGGGGCCATCAGGGGCTCAGTGGGTCGGGGTCAGTGGTCAAGTGTTGGCATTTGGAGGCTAGCAGCTATCATTTTCTAGGATGGGAAGGAGTGTGTGGTGAAGGAGGTCTTCCCTGGGGACAGTGTCAACAGCCTGCTGAGCATCCTCGATGTCATCACGGTGAGTTCTAGGGGCTCAGAGGGGAAGGAAGCTGGCCCGGAGGGTGTGCCCGCCTTCCTCACTCCCTTACCTCTCCCTGCAGGGTCACCAGCGGCCGTACAGGACGGTCTCCGCCCGGGCTTCCCGAGACTCTACCGTGTTACGGCTGCCGGTCGAAGCCTTCTCTGCTGTCTTTGCAAAGTACCCCGAGAGCCTCGTGCGAGTTGTGCAGGTCTGTTCCTTCTCCCCGAGGCCTTCCGGGGCTTGAGAGCGGCTCCCTTCCTACTTTGGGGCCCCTCATTGCCCCCTTCTCAGTCCCTGTCTGAGGGCCCTGACACTGGTTCTGTTGCTTATCTGCAGATCATCATGGTTCGACTGCAGCGAGTGACGTTCTTGGCTCTTCACAACTACCTGGGCCTGACCAATGAGCTCTTCAGTCATGTGAGTGATGAGAGGGATGAGGGGGAGCTGCTGTGGGACCAAGCTTGGGCAGGGTTGTTTCTGAAAGGAGCATTTCCGCACACCCTCAGGAGATGCAGCCTCTGCGCCTGTTCCCGAGCCCTGGCCTCCCAACCCGAACCAGCCCCGTTAGGGGTCCCAAACGTGTCATCGGTGCCTCTACCGCTGAAGAACCCCGGGATCCTCTTGCCCGGCCCCTGGACCCTACCGGAGCCCCCCTTCCTGGCCCCCCAGGTTCCTTTCCGTACTCTCCTAGCCTGAATTCCTGGTGGGCTCTCAGTATACCTTGTGTGTACACCTAGCCTTCTGTTCCCACTGTGGCCTTTCTGATTGGCTTTCCAATTCCCCCCCCCCCACCGCCGTTTCCCCCAGTGGTGGCTGGAGGTCAAGGCAGCCTGTGTCCCAAGCTGGAAGGAATTTGTTGTGATGCCCCTCACTCTACCTGCTCCTTCTAGAACCCTCCACCTGTTCTGGCCTGTACTTCCTTGATTCCCCAGACATAGGTACAGATATGGTAGAGTTGCAGAGGAGGGGCCGTCAGGGTTGACCACACCTCCTTCCCTCTCCAGGGGATCCTGTGAAGCCCCCGGCCTCTCTGGAGCCCCCTCCTGCCCCCCTGCTGAGTAGGTGTATCTCCATGCCTGTGGACATCTCTGGTAAGGGTCAAGGAAGAGGAGAAGATCTGGATAGGGATGGGGGACTGACCCCAAGGCCTCCCTTCTTCCATCCCTTTCCAGGGCTGCAGCGGGGTCCACGTTCTGATTTTGACATGGCCTATGAGCGAGGCCGGATTTCTGTGTCTCTTCAGGAGGAGAGCTCAGGGAGCCCACTACCCAACATGCCCCGGGTGAGGCCCTACCTCCATCTTTGCTCCAACCCCCAAGCCCACCTGAGGCTTTACGCTTTTGTCCAGGCAGCTAGGTCTAAGCAGTCTTCTCTGAGTTTGTGAGGCTGCGTGTGTAGAATGTTGTTGGGGGGAGGGAAGTCTGAGCTGGGGGCTCCCTGACTTCCTGGTTCCACCCAGTCAATGTCTCAGGAGCCTCGGGAACAGCCGGCGGGGGCCTGTGAGTACAGCTTTTGTGAAGATGAGTCAGCTGGGGGTGACTGCCCCTTTGGGCCCTACCAAGGCCGTCAGACCAGTAGCATCATTGAGGCGGCCAAGCGGGAGCTGGTGAAGCTGATGAAGATTGAGGTAGGCAGAGAGGGGAGAAGAGGCAAGGAGGTTTGAAGGAAGGCCATGGGACCCCATCCTGAAAACCCTCTTGTCCTTCCCTGTTCCAGGACCCCACGCTGCTGAATAGCCGAGTGCTGCTACATCATGCCAAGGCTGGCACGGTCATTGCCCGCCAGGGTGACCAGGTGAGCCCTAGCCTGGCCTTCCTCTCCTCTCCTCCCATCACAGGTCTGTCCCTTAGTGATTTCTGTAACATTTTTCAGCTCCTCAAGCCCAGATGCTGGGGCTTGTCTCCCCTTTGATCTTCCTGCAGCCCCTCCCCAGGGAGACAGGGAGGACGCTGGTTTTTCCAGGAGACATTAGAAAGATAGTAGCCTGACTTCAGCCATGAGCCCCTGTTCAAAGTGGTTCTCATTCATCATCTCCCAGGGTCCCCATTCTTATCCCATGGCCTGGTGCTGGCCCAGGTGCTGACACTGCTGACCACTTGGGATCCAGCAGCTCGCCTTCCTGCATCGTCAGGATGCAGGCACTGACAAGCACCTAATTCTTACTGGGAGGCCACAGAAAAGCAAAAAGACAGACAATACAAAAAGGGAGAGTGGTGCCTGCATTCTTCCTGCTTTGCCGCCTTTGTTGGCTTGGCTCAAGGAAGCTCGTCAGTGTAAGTGCACCATCCAGTGCTGAGGACAGCCCACCCTCAGGGGGCACCCTTTCTTTTTGGGCAGTTTTGTCATCTGTGGGAACATGGGAGGGTCCCCTCAGTGTCCTTCCTCCACATCAGGGCTTCTCAATCTTTTTTGCATATCATCAGCCTTAGAATGAGGTTCTTAAGTATGGAAAATAAGATACATAGGATTACAAAGGAAACCAAATAAGGGCAGCTAGGTGGCGCAATGATAGAGTACCGGCCCTGAAGTCAGGAGGACCTGAGTTCAAATCTGGCCTCAGATCAAACATTTGACACTTACTAGCTGTGTGACCCTGGGCAAGTCACTTAACCCCAATTATCTAAAAAAAAAAAAAACAAACCAAAAAACAAAACAAGGGAAACCAAATGTGCTGAAATATAGTTATCAGAATATTTAAAAAGCTCAGGTTCACAGACTCCAAGTGAGGATACCTGATCTAGATCCTTTGATCTCCCATGGAAGCAAGGGGACGCGAAATGATCCCTCTCTTAAACTGTGACCAGCCTGCCCCCTCTACAGCCAGAATCTTTCTGATAGCATCCTTTGCACAACTCCTCCTGAATGATTCTTTGGTAATATTCTGCAGTCCCTTCATTCTCTTTGTCCTTTGGGTGACCCACAACTTTCATCCTTTAGACATTTGTATTCATTTCATGACTCAGCTATCGAGCATCATTGGAGGAAGAATAATGTTGTTAAAAGATGGGGCCTTATTTCAGAGAGACGCTTGAAGCCTTTTAAAACACTCGGTGATTTCTCTCCAATTCTCTTCTGGGCCCGGTTCCACGGCTGTGTGAGATCTAGCCACCGTGGGGCCTGCTCTCTGGGCTGTCCATCCTGTGTGTCTATCTCACAGTCTGAACAGTGGGTGTTCTCTTTTTGTCCATCTGGGTTTTTGTGTGAGGAAAATTAAGCTGAGCTCTTTCTTCTGAGTGATAACAGACCTGCTGAGGGAGAGGCAGTGTTTCTAGGGCTTGATGCACTTGGCATGAGGACCTCTGCAGACAAGAGCCCTCAGTATAGGTCACAAAGCCGATGCAGCAGCCACAGGGAAGAGTGACCAACCGAGGCATTGGCTATATGGACCCCTGAACAGTCCCTTTCTCCTAAAAGCAAAACTGTTGGTCAATTCTTAAATTGTCTTGCTGCTGTGTTCAGAGGAAGCAGTGATGGGAGGTATTGTCCTCGATTTCATCTTGGCCCACGATGGGGAGGGTTGGTGAAAGTGACAGGAGTCTTAGGAAGCAGTGCCCCCCCCATTTTAGAGTTCATATTATATGGGGGGGTGGGACAGAGTCTCACATGTCCCCTGAAATCTAGACAAATGGATTTCAGAAAGGTCAGAGTAAAGATACGTCTCCTCCCATGGTCTGAAGTGCTAAAAACAAAGTCTACCGAGGGATGGGAGACTCTCAAGAAGGAAATTCTGATGACCTAATCATCAATCATTCTGCTGGGAAAGCAAAGGGAGAGAGGAGCATCTCAAGGGAGCAGTGTGTTTTTTCCGAGAGCTCTCTGTTGAGGTAGATTTTAAAATGAAGCAAGTGAGGGCACATAACTGAGGCCAAGTAGGCCTTGAAAGGGGGATCATATGAGAAGAGCATCAGGCTGCATGAATTAAAGCTTTCAATAAATGGAGGCCTTGTTTAGATGCTTCAAGGGCAGGAAAAGACAAGGAAGAGAGAAGCTTGTTACTGAGGCTGGCTGGTGCAACAGTGATGAATGCAGAATGAATAGAACCTCTATTAACTATTTTACTTCAGTCTTCCCTATTAAGGAAAATGATCTTCTAACTAGAAAGCACAGAAAAACATGGTTAAGGGGAGACTAAAGCCTAAGAGGTTACTGAGTTTGTGGGGCACCAGCTTTATGTCCACACAGCAGTCCTTGGAAGTAGGAACGGGAAGAAATCTTGCCAGGCAGACAAGAATCTCATGAGCCTGCTCTTGAACCCTCCCCATTGAAGAAGAAAGAAAAAGAAAACCCTTGTCACCAATAAGCACTAATTCTGCATAGGCTGTGTCCAAAAATGTATGTCTTGTTCTGCCCTTTAAGTCCATCTGCTCTGTCAGGAGGTGAGTAACGTATTTTGAGTCCTCAGGAAACCCAGCTGGTCATTTCGTCGATCAGAGTTCTTGAGTCTTTCAGAGTTGTTTGGCTTCACAGTGTTGTTATTGTGAAAATTGTTCTCCTGGTTCTGCTCCCTTTGCTCTTCTTCAGTTCATTCAGGTCTTCCCAGGACTCTCTGAAACCATCCCCTTCATCATTTTTTATAGCAAGATAGTATTCAGGTACCATAATTTGTTCAGCCATTTCCCAGTTGATGGGCACAATCTCAGTTTCCAATTCTTTGCCATTGAAAAAAGAGCTGCTATATCTGTCTTGGTACGTATGGGTCCTTTTCCTGTTTCTTTAATCTCTTTGGAGTCTAGACTAGGTAGTGGTACTGCTGGGCCAGAGGGTACACAGTTTTGCCAGCTCCATCTCAGTGAATGTGTTCCTGATGCCAGTGTTTGACCTGAAAGTACATACACACAGTCTCTCTCGATCTCTCTCTCCCCCTCCCCCTCCCCCTCTCTCTACCTCCCTCCCTCTCTCTACCTGAGGAAGAGGGGTCCCAGATGCTGAAGGCAGGGAATTTCTGTTCACAGAGTTCTCTCTGAACATTCCATCTGTGAAACTGCTGGGTTCCTGTTCTTCCATAACTTTTCTCAGGCTGAACTATGGAGTTGGGTAAGATCACCAAGGCTAGAGAAGCTTCTGCTGTTCTTCTGGGCTCAATATCACTGTCTCCCTTGGGGGGCAGTAGTGGGTGAGAACGTGCCGTGGTTGGGCTGCATTCCTTCCGCTGTCTTGGTCTCTGCATGACTGAAAGTCCGTTTTGTAGATGGTGATTGCAGAGTAGTTATGCCTTTAGCCAAGTGGATGTGGACTCACTTTATCAAGATGAATTGACTTGGACATCTCCTCCTGTTAGGTGTGTTCTGAAGGGAAAAGGGTGGGTTTCAGAAACTACTGGCCAATGAGCTTTGATCTCTAGGAATAATTCTAAGATAAGTAATTAAACCGGTGAGTTGTGATCACTTAGAAAGGGAAATAATGATTCCTGAGAGTCACCATGGGTTCATCTAGAGCCGGTTATGCCACACTAACCTCATTTCCCTTTTTGGGCAGGGTTACTGAACTGGTAGAGCAGGGGATTATTGGCATCATTCATGCATTTGTGTTACAGCAGGAGGTTTTATAAAGTTTCCTGTGATATGCTTGTGCACCAAATGGGTAGCTATGGCTAGGGAGAATGTTCAAAGTTTGCTGAATTACTGGATCAAAAGAATGTTAATTAATAGGTCAGTGCCAGTCTGGAGGGAAGTCCCTAGTGATGGCCGCAGGACTCTCTCCTAGATCCTTGGAACATTTTTATTGGGGACTCAAATGAAGGCTTAGCCAGCATGCTTAACAAATTTGTGATGGATTAAAAATTGGCAGGGATATAAGTATAGTGCAGGGGTGTGGAACCTGCAGCCTCGAGGCCACATGTGGCCTTCCAGGCCCTCGCGTGTGGTCCTTTAACTGAATCCAAACTTCACAGAACAAATATCCTTAATAAAAAGATTTGTTCTGTAAAACTTGGATTCAGTCAAAAGGCTGTACTCAAGGACGTAGAAGGCCACACATGGCCTCAAGGCCGCAGGTTCCCCACCCTTGGTGTAGCGAATGGAATGCTAGACTTGGAGCCAGGAAGACCTTAGTTCAGATCCTGCTTCTGACACTCTGTGTGACCCTAGGAGAATTACAGCCTTCTCCTCAACCTCTTTGTCTATAGAATGAGGATAGTGTTACCTAGAATGCCCATGTCATGGGTTGTTTTAAGCTTTATGAGATAAAGGGCATGTAAAGTGCTTTAAAAACTTGAAAGTTCAACATAAATGTCTCTTATTCTCTTATTAGATGACAGGGTTGTAAGCTTGACAACTAAAATGATAGACCAGATTTCAAACCAGAATCTAATTAGGTGAAATTGAATTTGTTGTTCAGTTGTGTTTGTTTCTTCTGTGATGCCATGGACAAAGATAGCATGCCAGGCCCTTCTTTCTGTCCTTCCCTCTCTCTCCAAGTCTATCCATGCTGGTGTCTGTTGCCTCCATGACACTATCTATCCATCTCACCCTCTGCCATCCCCTTCTTCTTTTGAATAGGGGTTAATATAAAATCTTTCTGTCTGGTCAGAAAGGCCAGTTTTGCCTAATTGATTGTCTAAATATAGGATAGGAGAGACTCGGCTAGTCCATTCATGTGAAAAGTACCTAGGACTTTTATTTTGTTTTATTCTTGACCTAAGACTTTTAATGGGTCATCAGTCACCAGTTACAGGGCAGCTAAAAAGCTAATGTGATTTTAGGCTGCATTTATGCAGGAGTCTGGGCTCTAAAACAAGGGTGAGGGCAGTCTCATGAAGCTCTGCCCTGCCCAGATCATAAAAATTGGAGCGTTAAATTACATTCTGGGAACTTCATTTTAGGAAAGGCGTCGACAAGCTGGGCAGTGAGGATGCAGGAAGGAGATTCAGAGCCTTGGCCTAGGGATGAGAAGACTGTATTGGATTTGAAGACTATAACTCAAATCTAAAGGAGTTCCATGTAGGAAAAGAATTAAATTTGTTCTGTATCACTTGGGACCAATGGGTAGAAGTTACAGGAAGACAGATATCTGCTGAATTAAAAAAAATTATAGCTGTGCTTTTAATAGTGCTTTAAGGTTTGCAAATCTCTGTATGTTATTCTATTTACTCCTCATAGCTCTGTGAGGTAAATACTATAGATAGTATCATGCCCATTTTGTAGATGAGAAAATCAGTTTAGAGGAGGTAATTGAGTTGTCCATGTTACCCTGCTCGTGTTAGAGGTGAGATTCAAATCCGGGTCTTTCCTGACTCGATGTCTTGAGTTCTTTCCATTACGTGATTCCACCTTTCACAGGAGAATCAATTTCCCAACAATTAGAGCCATTCTGCAGTGGAATGAACTGCCTTGGGTCCTAGCCAGCTTCTTGGTCGGCCTTCTCAGTGTTCAGGAGGTGGGCATCTGCTCTCTCTCTCTCTCTCTCTCTCTCTCTCTCTCTCTCTCTCTCTCTCTCTGTGTCTCTCTCTTTCTCTCTTACCAAGGAGAATTGGTAGGAGGAGCTCACTGTCCCTTCTGTGGTGCTGAAGACCTCACAGGCAGTCTTGTTGGGGCTTCAGCGGCCCTCAGCATAAGCCAGGGGACTGGCGTAACCAGCAGAGGAAATGTCTTCAAGTGGCCAGCCGTGGGCTTCTGCTTTTCCTGTTAGTACACTTTGAGTCTCTGGCAGCTCGGGCCCATCCTGACCTGGCCTTAGCCTCTTGTCAGCTCTTCTTGGCCCTAGCCCTGGTCATGGCTAGCTCCTGTCAATCCCTGCCTCTGGCACTTAGCGAGAAGGCCCAGGTCTTCTCACTGGTTTAAGCCCTGTTGGCATTCACTAGGCATCTGTCTTCACCTTAGGATCATTTGATTTAAGACTAGAGAGGGACTTGAGAGGTTTTCTAGTCCATCTCCTTCATTTTACAGATGTTGAGACTGAGGCCTGGAGAGGTTAAAGAACTCACCTAAAGTCACATAGGCAGCAAGTGGTTGAAATAGGATTTGAACCCAGGTCCTTTAGCTTCAGACATAACCCTCTTTCCACTCCACCCCCTTGAGGGACCTTCGTGTCCTCCCACACCATTGGTTTTAGGCTGCCTTCCCTGACTTTGAAGTAGACTCGATCACCTCTCACTTCACTTCCTTCGGTGGCTAGGTGTCATAGGGGATGGAATACTGGCCTTGGAGTCAGGAAAAGCTGCATTCAAATCCTGTCTCACACACTTACTAGTTGTGTGACCCTGGGCAAGTCATCACCCATCAGCCTCAGTTTCCCCCTCTTTAAGGGATATAATACCTACTTTACAATGTTGTGAGGCCCAGATGAAGTTATATATGTAAAGTGTTTTTGTAATTGTAAGTCCTGTTTATTGTTTAATATTATTATTATTTCTAACCTCAGCAAAATCTATGGTGTATGCTACCTGTTTTCTTTCTGATGCAAACATAGTTCCTTTCTGTGTCCTGGTTCTTTTTCTGGGTCTTTAAAAAAATTTGTTCTTGGTCATTTTCTGGTTCTTAGGCTAATTGCGTTCTTCCTTCTTGCTCTGTCAGCAGGAAAGTGACTTAGATTCAGCTTCAGGTGGCCCCACCAAGAGACTGCTGTCTTGTCTCTCTTCAGGAGATCTGCTTTTCACCTTGTCTTGTCCCCACCCCAAAAAGATGGGCCCTTCTTTCCGTGCTAGACCTCATGTCTTCCTCATTCCCATCTGTTTCTATCAATTGATGCTTTGTTTTGAGGGAGATTTGATGGACACGACTAAGTCTGAAGAGCAAAGTTTTAGAATTGGCAGGAGCCTAAGATATCATCCAGTCTAACCCTCTTATTTTACAAATGAGGAGACAGACTGAGGCCCAGAAAAGTGAAGGAATTTGTTCTAGTAGAATTGGGATTTGAGCCTGGGCCCCCTGCCTCTCAGGTCCTTTTACCCTTCTCTGTGGTCACGGCCATGCAGCCACACCCCCATTCCCAGGTGTTTAGGTCAGTGGCCACTTCAGCCTGAGGGCCTTTCAGGGTCATGTGGAAGCTGCCCCCCCAAAAGGAGGCATCTTTCCAACCTCACACTCCTTCTCTCCCTCCCTCCTGGCTCTGCCCCTAGGATGCCAGCCTGCACTTTGTGCTCTGGGGCTGTTTGCACGTGTACCAGCGCATGATCGACAAGGCGGAAGACGTGTGTCTGTTTGTAGCCCAGCCTGGAGAGCTGGTGGGTCAGCTGGCTGTGCTGACGGGGGAGCCGCTCATCTTCACCCTGCGGGCACAGCGGGACTGCACTTTCCTGCGTATTTCCAAGTCGGGCTTCTATGAGTGAGTATGGACGCCCAGGCTGGCCAAGCAGGGCTGGGGGAGTCTTCAGGGAGAGGTGAGGAGGGACCAGCAGGGTCTCCATGCTGCCCTGTTTTCCTCTTCCCATCCCAGGATCATGCGGGAGCAGCCGAGTGTGGTTCTGAGTGCTGCCCACACTGTGGCTGCCCGCATGTCACCATTTGTACGCCAGATGGACTTTGCAATTGACTGGACGTCTGTGGAGGCTGGACGCGCCCTCTATAGGTAATGGGACCTAATCCCTGGAACCTTAAACCTAGGTATCCTCCCGCTTTGTGACCCACTTCCCCATCCACATTCCCTCTGATTAGAGGCCCCAAATCCTGGAATCCTTCAACTCCGATCTCCCAGTTTCAGGCTATTTATTAGCCCAGCTTTTCCCAAAGGTCCCTGTGATGGATGGTTCTTTGTGTGTTCCTCTCCCCCTCCCTCCACCCTTTCATGAATCCCCGTGTTCTCCCAGCCCCACCCTGGTTTTATCATTGAAGTTCTCTGGGTGAGAACCAGCCACTTTCTAATCTTCCCCACCCCCTGTGTCCCTATCCTCCAGACAGGGTGACCGCTCAGACTGTACCTACATTGTACTCAATGGGCGCCTGCGCTCTGTCATCCAGAGGGGCAGCGGCAAGAAAGAATTGGTCGGGGAATATGGCCGTGGGGATCTCATCGGGGTGGTGAGCTACCTGTCCAGGACCCAGCCCTGCCTAAGCCTGGCTCTGGATATGCCCCGTTTCCCATCCTGAGTCCCCGTCCTGTCCTTGAGCTTCCTCCAGCTTTAACTTCCCAGTTTACCTTTCCTCTTCCAGCATCCTAACCCCCTTGCTAACGCTTGGGCCCTGCCTGTAGTGATCTAACCCATGTGCCTTTCAGCCTTGTGCCCCCTGGGGGGCAGGCAGCTTACTCCCCTGTCCTGGTTGGACTTAGGTGGAGGCCCTGACCCGGCAGCCCCGGGCCACGACAGTGCATGCAGTGCGGGACACGGAGCTTGCCAAGCTGCCTGAGGGGACCCTGAGCCACATTAAGAGGAGGTACCCGCAGGTATGGGGGCTCTAGGAAGGGACCCAGGGATGGGGAATGGGGATTCCAGGGATCCCTCAGGGTGGAGGATGGCGCCTTTGGGCTCTTAGTTATGAGGTGGAGAATTGGGGTTCCAGGTACTTCTCGGGTGATCTGGCGTCCTCTAGTGAGATGCTCCAGGCCAGAGTGGGTGTGGGTGTGGGGGTTCTTTTGCCTGATGTGACCTCTGGTTCACAACACTCACAGGTTGTGACCCGGCTGATCCACCTGTTGAGCCAGAAGATCCTGGGGAATCTACAGCAGCTGCAGGGACCTTTCCCAGGTAAGGAGTGAAGCTGGGGTGCCCTAGGGCAGCCTGGGGCTGCGGGGTGAGGTCAGCGTCTGTGTGTCCCAGGAGCCCTCGTTGGCCTCTGCTGTCGCTGCCTCTTTTCTCCTCCAGTCCTGGGTCAGACAGCCCCTCATTCCTTGTAGTCACGAGCCCCAGGCCCCCTTCTCTCGCCTCCCTTTGTTGCAGGCCTGGCCTTCGCTTCCCTTACCTCTGCTGCTGCCCAGAGCTATGCAGGGGTTGTCTCTCTGCCCCTCCCTCCCGTTCTCTGGAGCAGCCATGCTTGCAGCTGTTTGGGATGGGGTAGGGGCCAGAGGGACCAGACAGAAAAGAAGAGTCACGGTGACACAGAATTCCTTCCCAAAGACCAGGGTGATACCTCTTAAATTGTCAAGGAGCACGGCCCCAGAGCATCCTCTTTCCCAGCTCTCAGTGGCCATGTCTGCCTACCCTGCCACTCTTCCGTGTCCCCCAGCCTTCCTGTCTCTGAGGGGGTTCTCTCTCTTCCTTGTCCATGCTTCCTTTTGCCCCTGGCCTCCCAGGGAGATTGAGGATCTCCCTAGATGCTCTCAATAGCCTTTGGGGTTCAGACACCTAAAAATCACAGAATGGCAGAATCTTGGATGACATGCAGTCTAGTCCATCCCTACCTGCAGATTGTCTGCTCCCACACTGTCTGGAAATGGTCATCTCAGCTTGCCTAGAAGACTTCTAAGGGGGAAACTCCTGCTGTCCAAGGAAGCCTTTGAGAGTGTTGGACAGCTCTGATTATTAGGAAGGAAGTAAAAGTTGGGCAGCTAGGTGGCGCCATACTGCATAGAGCATTGGTCTGAGAGTCAGGAAGACTCATCTTCGTGAGTTCAAATCTGGCCTCAGACACTTACTAGCTGTGTGACCCTGAGCAAGTCACTTAACCCTGTTGGCCTCAGTTTCCTCATCTGCAAAATGAGCTGGAGGTGGAAATGACAAACCACTCCAGTATCTTTGCAAAGAAAACCCCAAATGGGGTCACAGAGAGTCTGACACAGACATTAAAACAGCTGAACAACAAGTAATAGAGTCTCCCAGGACAGCCCAGGCTCAGTTTTAGGAAGAAGGCACACGTCTTCTCCAACTTAATTCTGTATTTTTAAAAAAAATTAAATATATTTAATTTTTTCCCTAATTGTGTGTTAAAACAATTTGTTAACATTTGTTTTTAGAATTTTGAGTTCCAAATTATCCCTCCTTTCCCCCTTCCCCTTTCCCCTCCTTGAGACGGTAAGCAATCATATATAGGTTATAAATGTGCAGTCATGTAAAACATTTCCATATTAGTCATTTTGTACAAGAAGACTCAAATTTTTAAAAAATGAAAGAAAGTGAAAAATAGCATGCTTCATTCTGTATTCAGACAATATCAGTTCTTTTTCTGGAGACAGATAGGATGCTTCATAATTAGTTCTTTGGGATTGTCTTGGATCATTGTATTGCTGAAAATGGCTAAGTCATTCACAGTTCTTCATTGTACAATATTGCTGTTAGTGGGTACCACTTTCTACTGGTTCTGCTCACCTTTGCTTGGCATCAGTTCATGTAAGTCTTTCCAGGTTTTTCTGGGAGCATCCTGCTTGTCATTCCTTGTAGCACAGTAATATTCCATCACAATCATATACTACAGCTTGTTCAGCCATTCCCCAATTGATGAGCATCCCCTTGATTTCCAGTTCTTAACCACCACAAAAATAGCTGCTATAAATATTTTTGTACATGTAGGTCCTTTCCCCTTTCCTTTGATCTCTTTGGGATACAGACATAGCGGTGATAATTACTGGATCAAAGCGTATGCAGAGGGGCAGCTAGGTGGCGCAGTGGATGGAGCACCAGCTCTGGAGTCAGGAGGACCTGAGTTCAGATCCAGCCTCAGACACTTGACACTTACTAGCTTTATGACCCTGGGCAAGTCACTTAACCCCATTGCCTAGCAAAACAAACAAACAAAAAACAAAATGAAAACAAACAAACAAAAGACAAAATGAAAAAAAAACAAAGGGTATGCAGAGTTTGATAGCCCTTTGGGCATAGTTCCAAATTGCTCTCCAGAATGCTTGGATCAGTTCACAGCTCCACCAGTGGTGCATTAGTGTCCCAGTTTTCCCACATCCCCTCCAACATTCAACATTTTACTTTTCTGCCATATTAGCCAATCCGATGGGTGTGGGAGGTACCTCAGAGTTGTTTTAATTTGCATTTCTCTGATCAGTAGTGATTTAGAGCATTTTTTCATATGACTATGGATAGCTTTGATTTCTTTGTCTGAAAACTGCCTGTTCATGTCCTTTGACCATTTATCAATTCGGGAATGACTTGCATTTATATAAATTAGACTCAGTTCTCTGTATATTTGAGAAATGAGGCCTTTATCAGAGATACTTGTTGCAAATTTCCTCCCTCCCCAATTTTCTGCTTTCCTTTTAATTTTGGTTTCACTGGTTTTATTTGTGCAAAAACTTTTCAATTTAATATAATCAAAATTATCAATTTTACATTTTGTGATGCTCTTTTAATTTTCCTTCCTTTTAAATTCTTCCCTTACCTATAGATCTGATAAATAATGTATTCCATGCTCTCCTAATTTGCTTGTGGTATCACCCTTTATGTGTAAATCATGTACCCTTTTGTTTTGGTTTGGTTTTTTGGGCTAGGCAGTGGGGTTAAGTGGCTTGCCCAGGGTCACACGGCTAGTAAGTGTTATGTGTCTGAGGTCGGATTTGAACTCAGGTCCTCCTGAATCCAGGGCTGATACTCTATCCAGTGCACCACCTAGCTGCCCATATACCTAGTTTTTGTCATAGTATTTTCTAATTTTCTCCACAGTTTTTGTCAAATACTGAATTTTTGTTCCAAAAGCTTGGATCTTTGGGTTTATCGTATGCTAGATTACTATGGTCATTTACTATAATGTAATCTGTACCTAATGTATTCCTTTGATCCCCCACTCTATTTCTTAGGCAGTACCAGATTGTTTTGATAATTACTGCTTTATAATACAATTTTACATCTTATACAGCTAGACCCCTTTCCTTCACTTTTTTTTCATCGAATGCTTTGATATCCTTGACCTTTTGTTCTTCCACATGAATTTCCTTATTATTTTCTCTAGCTCCACAAGATACTTTTTTTGGTAGTTTGATTGGTACGGCACTGAATAAACAGATTAATTTAGGTAGAATTGTCATGTTTGTTATATTGATTTGGCCTACCCATAAGTAATTAATATTTTTCCAGTTGTTTAGATCTGACTTTATTTGTGTGACAAGTGTTTTGTAGTTGTGTCCATATAGTTTCTGGGTTTGTCTTGGCAGATAGACTCCCAGGCATTTTATATTGTCTGCAGTTATTTTACATGGAATTTCTCTTTCTATCTCTTGCTGCTGGACTTTGTTTGTAACATATAGAAATGCTGATGATTTGTGTGGGTTTATTTTGTCTGCTGTAACTTTGCTATAGGTAATTGTTTCAACTGGTTTTTTAGCTGATTCTCTAGGATTCTCTAAGTACACCATCGTATCATCTGCAGTGAGCGATAGTTTTGTTTCCACATTGCTTCTTCTAATTCCTTCAATTTCTTTTTCTTTTCTTATTGTTATAGCTTACATTTCTGGTATAATATTGAATGATAGAGGTGGTAATGGGCATCCTTGCTTCGTCCTGATTGTATTGGGAAGGTTTTCTAGCTTATCGCCGTTACAGATAGTGCTTGCTGATAGCTTTAGATAAGTATTGTTTATCGTTTTAAGGTAAGCGCCATTCATTCCCACGCACTCTAGTGTTCTTAATAGAAGTGGGTGTTGTATTTTGTTGGAGGCCTTTTCTGCATCTGTTGAGATGATCCTGGGATTTCTGTTGGTTTTGGTATTGATATGATCAGTCATGCGGGTAGTCTTTCTAACATTGAACCAGCCTTGCGTTCCCGTTATAAATCCCACCTGGTCACAGTGTATGAGCTTTGTGACTGATTTCTGTGGTCTCCTTGCTAGTACTTTATTTCAGATTTTTGCATCAATATTCATTAGGGAAATTGGTCTAGAATTTTCTTCCCCTATTTTGGCTCTTCCTGATTTAGGTATCAGCATGATATTTGTGTTGTGAAAGGGATTTGGTAGGACTCCTTTGCCTATTTTTTCCAAATAATTTATGTAGTATTGGGATTAATTGTTTTTTAAATGTTTGATAAAATTTGCTTGTGAATCCATCTGTCCCTGGAGATTTTTTCTTCAAAAGTTCATTGATGGTTTGTTTAATTTCTTTTTCTAAGATTGGTTTATTTAAGTATTCTATTTCTTCTGTTAATCTGGGTAATTTATATTTTTGTAGATATTCATCCATTTCATTTAGACTGTCAAATTTATTGGCATATAATTGGGCAAAATATCTCCTAATAGTTGTCTTAATTTCCTCTTCATTGGTGGTGAATTCACCTTTTTCATTTTTGATATTAGTAATTTGGTTTTCTTCTTTCCTTTTCTTAATCGAATTAACCAATGGTTTATCTGTTTTATTGTTTTTTTTTCTTTCATAAAACCAGCTTCTAGTTTTATTTATTAGTTCAATGGTTTTCTTACTTTCAATTTTATTAATCTCTCCTCTGATTTTCAGAATTTCCAATTTGGTGTTTAATTAGGGATTTTTAATTTGTTCTTTTTCTAGTTTTTTTAGTTGTACACTCGGTTCATTGATTTGCTCCTTCTCTGTTTTATTGATGTAAGCAATTACGGTATAAATTTTCCCCTGAGTACCACTCTGGCTGCATCCCATAGATTTTGGTATGTTGTCTCATTGTTATCATTTTCTTTAATGAAATTATCAATTGTTTCTATGATTTGTTCTTTAACCCATTTATTTTTTAGGAATAGATTGTTCAGTTTCCAATTAATTTTTAATCTATTTTTCATTGCCCATTATTGAATATAATTCTTATTGCATTATGATCTGAAAAGGATGCACTTAATATTTTT